TGCCACTTAACAGCTGTGTTATCTCGGACAAATTACTTGATCTCTACCTAGGCCAATATGCAGAACTGTTATGACAAATTCATAAGGAAATCCTTACGGCCTTCAGTAAAATGGTTGGCATACTATAATTTCTGCTATGAGGAGCATTACTTACTTACTATAGGCGCTGTGATTAGTAATTAGGAAACACTGCTAATTTGGCTCAGTCATCCCAATCTCCCTAACTCCGTGAAGTTGGACTTGGCCACATGACTTGCTTTGTCTAATGAAATGGGAGCAGACATGAAGTTAAACACTTTCCCGCAGAAACTGACAATCCATCCATGTTCGGCCTCTTGCTCCTGGGCCTTCTGCGTGAGACAGGCATATCCCAGTCAGGGCCGCTCCACCAACCTCAGCCCAGGAACAGGCAGACACAGCCAGCGGACCCAAACCCTCCCCCCACCCCCGCTGTGGAGCAGTCTGTCCAACAACGAGTTATAGGAGGTCACTGCTTTGCACTAGGCTCCTACATGAAAGCCCAACAGCCCACACCGAAATACCAAAACAAAATCACTCATACCAAACCTCCCAGAAATCAGGAAAGAGAGAAACAACAACTCAATTTCCCCAACGGCCAGTTTCGTCATCGTGATCATGAAGTGCCTCCCTGTTTCAAAACCTGAAATAAGCTAATGTGAATTCATTAGGTAATTTTCTATTGTTCTGTCTCCTTGGCCTTTCCTGACAAAGAAAGTAACTTTAAAATGACCAACATGGGGGCTGGCATTGTGGCGTAACACGTTAAGCTGTCACCTGCCCTACTTCTGATCTAGTGCCCTACCGATGTGCCTGGGAAAGCAGTGGAGGATGGCCCAAGCACCCACATGGGAGACCAGGAGGAAGCACCTGGCTCCTGGCTTCGGATCGGCACAGTGCGCTGGCTGCAGCAGCCATTTGGGGGTGAACCAACGGAAGGAAGACCTTTCTCTCTCTCTCTCTCTCTCTCTAACTCTGCCTGTCAAAAAAAAAAAAAAATCAATCTGCTTGCTGTCCTTTGTTCCTACTTTCTTCAGGCCTTTTCTGTCGATAAAAACAGCCTGTTGAGGCAGGCGCCTGGCCTAGCAGGTAAGATACCCATGTCCCACATTGGAGTACCTGGGTTGCATAACAGGCTCTGAGTGGTGATTCCAGCTTCCTGCTAATGCAGGCACTGGGAGGCAGCAGTAAGGGCTCAAGTAATTGGGCACTTGCCACATGAGAGACCTGGTTTGAGCTCCTGGCTCCCAGCTTCTGGCCCGGCCAATCCCAGTCACTATGGGCATCTGGGTAGTGAACCAGTGGATAGAAGCTCCCTCAATCTGCCTCTCTCCTGTGTCCCTCCTCTCAAATACATTTAAAACTAGGGGGAAAAAACAACTCCTCCTCAGCCCACTGAAACCTATTCTATTTAACAGAACAAAATATTGTCCAATGCTAGAAATGAAAATAAAGCCAATTAACAAATAAGAGTGTTAAGTAGGGGCCAGTGTTGTAGGCAGTGGGTTAAGCCTCCACCCGCAATGCTGACATCCCAGTTGAGCATCGGTTTGAATCCCCGCTGCTTCACTTCTGATTCAGCTCCCTGCAAATGCACCCGGGAAAGCAGCAGCAGATGGCCCAAGCACTCAGGCCCCTGACACCCCTGTGGAGACCAGATGGCGTTCCAGACTCCTGGTTTCAGCCCGCCCAGTCCTAGCTGTTGCAGCCACTTAGGAAATGAATTCGCAGATGAAATGTCTCTCTCTATGTGCAACTCTACCTTTCAAATAAATAAATAAATAAATAAATATTTTTTAAAATAATTAAATTGCATAGTTTTAATTTGAGAAGTAGGGAGACAGAAAGAGCTCTCATCTACTCGTTCATATCTCAAGTGTCCACAACAGCCCCCCGCCCACCCAGCAGAAGCCAGGAGGGAGGAACTTAATCCAGGTCACGGGGCAGCAGAGACCCAATCATTTGATCTATTACCTGCTGCCTCCCCGGGTCTGCATTAACAGGAAGCTGCAACCAGGAGCCAAAGACAGGTGTGAAACCCAGGAACCCTCATGTGGCATGTGGGCATCTTAACTGGTATCTTAACCACTAAGCCAAAACCTGCCCTAAACTATTTTAATTTAATCATTCGCAAGTCACCACAGTGGTCGTAAAGCCACTAACACATAATGTGAGCAAGAAGTTAATATTTGCTATTGTGAGCTACTGTAACGGGAAGGCACAAGGAGAGGGAGCAGCTGCGCCACCTGGCGGCGGTTCCTGCCATCTCACAAGCAGACCACATTCACCCCGCTTTAGGAGGCAAGGTTGACCTACTTTAATCTACACTTTGTTATACACTCACCGTACTATATCGGCATGCTAAACGACTCATTCCCCAGTCGTCATTATAGGAAACATCAGACCGTATAAGGGGCAAAACAGGCCTTTAGCTAGATTCTGAGAAATCACCACCTACTCCCCAGAAAAACCCTGAATATTCCTCCCCTTTATGAGAACGAACCTCCCCTTTCACTAAACGACCCACACAGTATTAAGCTCAGTTCAGAGATGGGCCGCCGTCCCCTGAGTGAGCCCACACTCTGTAGGGTATGTACTTTCAGCAGTAAAACCCTTGTTGTCGGCTACCCACTATTCTCCAACTTGTTCACAAATTCTTCTGGTGGAATCAAGAACGTGGTTACTGGGCACTCAGCATCTGGCGCCACATACAAAACCCAGCACCGACTACCTTGTCTTTTCACCTGCCAAACCAGTGCTGGTCCTAGAAGCCCCTGTGATGAGAGCATTGCCATCCACCTGAATATCCCGCCCAGTCAGAGACTCCAAAGTCACCCATGCTCCTCACTCATTCTTCCCCTTTTACTCAGTCATTAACTCTGTAATCTTTGCTTGTAGCTATTCAACCCCTCTTCCTGCATACAAGGACAACTCTGACCCTCTGTCATCTCAAAACTAAATTCTTGGGCTGGCACTGTGGCATAGAGAGTTAGCCACTGTCTGCAGTGCCAGCATATCAAATGGGTGTCAGTTCAAGTCCCGGCTGCTCCACTTCCAATCCAGCTCCCTGCTAATGCGCCTGGGAAAGCAACAGAGGATGGGCCAAGTGGTAGACCTGGATGAGGCTCCTGGCTCCTGGCTTCGGCCTGGCCCAGCTCTAGCCATTGTGGCCATTTGGGGAGTGAACCAGCAGACGGAAGATCACTCTCTAGCTCTCTAAATTCCAACTTTCAAATAAATAAATAAATCTTAAAAAAAGAATAAATTCTTTCAACTGTCACCTAGCTCTAGAGTCTTTCCTACACCAACCTACTGCCCACATTGTCACCACACTGGTGATTCTATGGTATCCATGAGACTGTGCCTCTTCTCTACTCTCTACTTAAATACTGTAGTGGACAGCCTGCAAAAGGAAGTCTGAGGTAGCTTTGCATGCAAGACCCTCTTCTCTCTGGGCTCACAATGAGTCCTAGCCAAGACTTCCAAGTCATCACACACCTACTACATACTTGGATAATGCAGTACCTGTTCTTTTTTATTTTTTTAAGATTATTACACAGAGAGAGGAGAGGCAGAGAGAGAGAGTCATTCAGTCAGTCTACCATCCACTGGTTCACTCCCCAACTAGCCACAACAGCCAGAGCTGTGCCAATCCAAAGCCAGGGCCAGGAGCTTCTTCCAGGTCTCCCAAGCGGGTGCAGGAGCCCAAGCCCTTGGGCCATCCTCCACTGCTATCCCAGGCTATAGCAGAGAGCTGGATTGGAAGTGGAGCAGCCAGGGCTTGAACCGGCGCTCATATGGGATGCCGGCACTGCAGGCAGTGGCTTTGCCCACTACACCACAGTGCCGGCCTCTACCTCTGTTCTTTTTAAAATTTATTTATTTGAAAGGCAGAGTTACAAAGAGAGGGAGTGAGAGAGAAGGAAAGCAATATTTCATCCACTGGTTTACTCCCCAAATGATCACAATAGCTGGGGGTGGGGCTGGGCCAGGCCAAAGCCAGGAAACTGGAGGTTCTTCCAGTCCTCCCACCTGGTGCAGGGGCCCAAGTACTTGGGCCATCTTCTGCTGCTTTCCCAGGGTCATTAGCAGGGAGCTGGATCAGAAGTGGAGCAGCTGGGACTCATACCAGTGCCTATGTGGGATGCTGGCATCGCAGGCAGCGGCTTAACCGGTTAACACCACAGCACCGGCCGCGGTACCTCTGTTCCTGTAACTCCTGTTTGATGGGCTCACCGCCCATCCTCCACCATGAATTGAGATGCCCCATCCCACCCATGACTTCCTAGTTGTAGCTTTCTGTGAGCACCTTTCCAAGGTTTAAACACCACCGATCACAATGCACGCGTTGCCTGCTTTCTGTCCGTCTTCCCTACAGAACTAGGGCTCCATTCTCACCCATCTGCATCAAAGATCTAAAACAGTGTCTGGACCACAGTGCCCACTCAACGTTTCTGAAGCAAACATTCTCTCCTTTCAACTCAGTGTTATTTGTACAACCGAGATGTTATCTGCACAGGCTTAGAATTCTCCAGCTCTGACAGTTAAGCTGTGAGTTGTTTCCTGGATCCATGAAAAGCCGCTCAAAGATACTGTGGATTCACACATTTCTGTTAATACAACAAACCAGCCATAATCTGGTACTCACAACCCAGGGTACCCTGTTCTAGGCCAGAGGGTCCCAAAGCCCCCAGGGGACTTCACCAAGAAGGCAAACGCCAGGCCCCGCCCCTGGGACCCAGAAAGTCCGGGTGGAGCTCTGGCACCTGCGCGGTCAACCCAGGTAACAGCGCTAAGCCAGGTTTTGAGAACCACTGATTTAACAGCCAAAAAGTAAGTGCCCGTTCTTTAGTGGATTTGGGAACATCTGCTTTGTCAAACTTCACGGCACCCCAGAACAGCAGCTGCTAGAGTCGCCCTCGCTTCCCCGTGCCGTCGCTCCGGCACTGGCCGCACCCCGCCGGTGCGCTCTCGCGGCCTACCTGGTAGACTGCAGAGCCCGCGTCCAGCTGGGTGCCCAGCGGGGCCACCGCGTCCCCGTGGTAGCCGCGCAGCCCTGGCGCAGCGGCGCGGGCGCAGGGCCGCAGAGCTAACCTCAGGGCGGCCCACATGGCAGTGCGCACACAGCTGGGGTGCAGAACGAGAACCGGCTCTCAGCCCGGCTGGAAGCACACCCCGGAACCTCGCTCGGTTCAGATCACTGCCTTAAAGCCCCCAGACGAGGCCTCTCAGACGCCCAGGCCCGCCCCCGCACGCGCTTGTTTGCGCCGCCTCCGATTGGTCGGCGCCGCTTGCCACGCCCCTTAATTCAACCAATAAGGAAGAGAGGCGCAGCCCCGCGAGGCCCCGGCCCATCGCGAGCTCAGGAACCCGGAATCGGGGCGGAACTTCTCTTCCGGGACTGCTGGTGCATGCTAGGCGGACCTTAGAGAGGCGGGCTTCAGTTTGCTTTAGGGTTGTATCCTCTCAACTTACGCAGCCATAGTAGCGGCTGGTGACACCACTGGAGCATTTATGGGTCCTGAGAGTGCAGACAGCACAAGTCTCTCGTCTTGTCGCTGGGGACGCGAAAACATTCCTGGAATTCTTGTTGTCAGCGCAGTGGCCTTAAATAAAGGCACCTGTCAGAAAGCCTTACGAAGGGCCCCGGCGTGTGGAGGGGAGAAGGGGAAAGAGGAAGGCAATGCAGAGGGGCAGAGAGGCAGCCAGGCCGCCTGGCAGAAGCGCTGAGTGTAGACTGAGCCTGGAGGCCCGGGCCGGCGTGGGACGGCTTGGAGAGACGGGGCAAGAGCAGGCACTGAGCCGCTTTAGGTGTGCCTGCCTCCCACGCTCAGCAGAAGACCACCCCGTGACCCGGTGCCTCTTCAGATGGACCCAGGGGACCCTTGCTTGTTCTTCGGTGATGGGAGATGCTGAAAATCACGTCCGAAGACCCAACAAGCCGCAATGATTAGAATATGATTCCTTGCCTTCTTTAATATGCAGACATGCGCCTCATTCCTGGCAGCTGTTGTTACAAGAAGCTTGTTCAAATTGTATAAGGTTCCCAGAACAGGCGAGAAGAAATGGCGGAGTCCAAGTGCCACCAAAGCCACGTTGCCCCTGCTGGTGTCTGGTGCCTCAGGGGGGAAGCTGCACACTTGCTCTCTGCTGGGTTTTTTAAAGAATGTCTTGTATCACGGAAAAAGAGGATGAACTGAAAGCTGAAGCCCCAGGACTGCCCTCTGCAACCCCGAGCGCTGCCGTGGGCTGCTCACTCTCAGCACCACCTGCCTGCTCACTCATCCCCATGGTTGTCACCGTCCCCAGGCTTTCCTTCCTTAAAAGTGCTGTTCCCCCTGCCAGGACACAGCCCCACCACTGCACCTGCCCCTCCCATCTTCCACCCCTGGGGAGCTCCTACAGGTCCCTCAGGACCCCGCTAGGGGTCTGCTTCCCCAGAAGCCCTGCCCGACCCCACTTCCTGGCCGCTTTCCACCCAGCACACCTCTGGGGTGGCTCAGCTTGTGCTGTGTTGTTTGGGCTGATTTAATTTCTCAGCCTAGGATCTTGCCAGAGTCGTCTTCTAGTCCCTAAAACCAGCCATGTGCTTGGCATAGTGCAGATGATAAATGTGCTGAATGAGGGCATGAAAAAATAACCGGTCTGGAATCCGTGCCAGGAGAAGCCCCGGACATCCGGAGCAGGGTGGTTTAAAGGCAAAGCAGGAAGCTGGGGAGCCCCTGCTGGGCAGTGGGACTTGGGCAGGCTCTGGTCTGCATCAGGTCTCCTGAGTTTCCCCCATGTGGCCTTCCCTGGGCTATCACATGGCCTTGCCTTGGGTGTCCAGTATTCTGCTGGATCCAAGGAGAAGTGAGTAGACTCCACCTCTCAATGAGAGAACGCCAAGGCCCTTACAGAGGGATGGGAGATACGGTGCAGCTGTCTTTGGAGAAAAGATGACCACACCAGGCAAGTGCATCCATGTCTATACTTTAGCCTGACCCAGTGTTACATTGTGTTTTCCTTGATCTAACACTGGTAATCTGTTTCCACATCCCCTAACTATTGCCCATGTAAACTGACGAGAGACCACTCTTTCTGTGCCATGTTTGGTACTGTGCAGTTATGTTGGAATAACTAACTCCTCTTAAGATCTAGAGATGGGGTCGGTGCTGTGGTGCAGCAGCGGGTTAAGCTGCCGCCTGCAGCACTTGCATCCCATGTGGGTGCTGGTTCGAGTCCCGGCTGCTCCCATTCTGATCCAGCTCCCTGCTAGTGCACCCAGGGAAAGCAGTGGAAGATGGTACAGTGCTTGGGCCCCTGTGCCTACATGGGAGACCCAGATAAAGCTCCTGGCTCCTGGCTTCAGCCTGGCCCAGCCCCAGCCATTGCACCCATTTGGAAAGTGAACCAGTGAATGGAAGATATTCATTCTCTCTCATTCTCTCACTCTGTCTCTTCCTCTCTGTAAATCTGTGTTTCAAATAAATACAATAATCTTTAAAAATAATGATTCAGAGACAAAGGTACGTGGTATGGGGGCAAATGTTCCAAATGAAGTCACTGGACGACTTCTACAGAGAGGAAGGCTACGTGGGAACCGGGGTGAGTATGAGAGTGGGCTGCCTCCAACTCTCAGGAGAGTTCAAAGCTTGAAAATCTTAGTGTCACCCACATCTCATGTCTCAGGTAGCAGTGTCCTTAGCATATCAGTGTTACCTTTAATTGGCACTTCAACTCCGTGCCCCTGATAGTCAGGGTTGGTCCTCAGCAAATTGCTGCAGCTACAGAAGATAACGGGCTCACCCAGCTGCTCTGCTTCCAGTCGAGCTCCCTGCTATTGCTCCTGGGAAAGCAGCAGCAGGTGGCCCAAGTGCTTGGGCCCCTGCACCCACGTGGGAGACTCAAGTGGAGTTTGAGGCTCTTGGCTTTGGCCTGGCCCAGCCTGGCTGTTCCCATCCCTTGGGGAGTGACCCAGCAAATCAAAGATACCTCTCTCCCGTCACTCTGCGTTTCAAATAAATACATCTCTAAAAAGGGAGAACAGACTAAAAGCTGTGAAAAAGGTCTTCTGAGTTTTCATGCTTATCATAGAAATCTACTGAAGAGATATCAAGTAGGTGGACTGGCAGAAACTTGCACAGGAATATTTGCAGGGGCCAGTGCTTAAAACTGCTGTCTGCCACGCCAGCATCCCATGTGGGCACTCATTCGAGTCCCGGCTGCTCCACTTCCTATCCAGCTCCCTGCTAATGCACCTGGGAAGACAATAGAAGATGGCCCAAGTGCTTGGACCCCTCCCACCTCCCCACATGGGAGACACAGATGGAGTTCCAGGCTCCGAGCTTTGCCCTGGCCCAACCTCAGCTGTGATGGCCATTTGGGTAGTGACCCAGCAAATGGAAGATCTCTCTCTGCCTTTCAAATAAATAAATAAATCTTTTAAAAATGAAATATTTATAACAGCATTTATATTGTAATACATTTGTAATATATACAACATTTGTAATATATACAAATGTATTGTATACATTTGTAATACACGGAAACTAAACCATCCAAGTGCCCACTAACAGATAAAGGATAAGCCAATTATGACCAATCTGTATGATAGCATATTACCTGCAGTAGGGGGCAGGCATTTGGCCTAGTGGTCAAAATGCACATGTCCTATAGTGGAGTGCCTAAGCTCAGTATCCCGCTCAGGCTTTTTTTTTTTTTTTTTTTTTGACAGGCAGAGTTAGTGAGAGACAGAGAAAGGTCTTCCTTCCTTTGGTTCAGCCCCAAATGGCCGCTACGGCCGGCACGCTGTGCCAATCCGAAGGCAGGAGCCAGGTGCTTCTTCCTGGTCTCCCATGCAGGTGCAGAGCCCAAGAACTTGGGCCATCCTCCACTGCCTTCCTGGGCCACAGCAGAGAGCTGGACTGGATGAGGAGCAACCGGGACAGAACCGGCGCCCCAACCGGGACTGGAACTCGCGGTGCCGGCGCTGCAGGTAGAGGATTAGCCTAGTGAGCCATGGCACTGGCCTCACTCAGGCTTCTGACTCCAGCTTCCTGCTGATGCAGACCCTGGGAGGCTGCAGGTGATGGCTCAAGTACTGGGTTCCTGCCCAGGTGACCTGGATTGAGCTCCTGGCTCACAGATTCAGCCCAGTCCCGTGCTGACCATCCCAGGCATCTGTGGAGTGAACCAGTGGATGAGAGTTCTCTGTCTCTCTGGTAGTTTCTCTCTCTCTCTGCCTCTCAAATAAACATAATAAATAAATGACTAAAATTTTAAATTAGTTTATGTAAAAGAAAATTGCCCCGAGTTTCCTGATTAACTAGAAGGATTTACAGAACTCCAAAAGTTGTTATATTCATACTTGTGATTTTTACAGTGAAAGGACACAGGTGGCCAGCGCCGCGGCTCACTAGGCTAATCCTCCGCCTTGAGGCACCGGCACACCAGGTTCTAGTCCCGGTCGGGGTGCCAGATTCTGTCCCGGTTGTTCCTCTTCCAGGCCAGCTCTCTGCTGTGGCCAGGGAGTGCAGTGGAGGGTGGCCCAAGTGCTTGGGCCCTGCACCCCATGGGAGACCAGGAGAAGCACCTGGCTCCTGCCTTCGGATCAGCGCGGTGCGCCAGCCGCAGCGCGCCGGCCGCAGCGGCCATTGGAGGGTGAACCAACGGCAAAGGAAGACCTTTCTCTCTGTCTCTCTCTCTCACTGTCCACTCTGCCTGTCCAAAAAAAAAGGACACAGGTTAAAGTTCACATGAAATAGCATTGACTCTCTGGCATGGCCCAAGGCCTGAGGCATACAAAGGCACTGTTGTTGGCAGGATGTTCCCAGGGTTTGTGGGATATCTCTAGGAGTTGGTCTAGAGCTGTTTGTCTTTGGAATGTGCAAGGCTTGAGCACTCTGAGCCTGCTGAGTTGACCCTTTATGCACAGCTACACACTGTATGAGTCCATTTGAATAGTGCATTTGGAATGAAAAAGTGTAGTGATGGGGAAATAGATAAGTGGTTGACAGGGGCTAGGGGTTGAGGGAGGGGAAATGACCACACAGGACAGCACAGATGGGCTTTGGGAGCTATGGAACAGTGTGTGTATCTTGACTATGGCGGAGAACCTGTACAGGTAATCGAGTTTCAAAGAATGATAGACAAACATGCAAAGCCACATACCTTTTACTTTTTTTAAAAAAAAATTATTTATTTATTTTCAAGTCAGTTAAACAGAGAGAGGAAGAGAAGCAGAGAGAGAGAGGTCTTCCCACCACTG